CCAGACAGTTGAAGTGACTAGACATTTGCTTGAGATGATTCGTGAAGTTGAAAATTGCTTCGTGTGGCTGGTGCCGGTTGTGACGGGTACCGAGACTTGCATCATTGGTAGTGGTGCGTACAAAGCCAGCTTTAAGATTGTCCGGCACAACGGCTGTTGTAGTTTCGACGCCACGACCCCTTGCCAGCTTCACGACGGCTCCGGCGAGAATTCTGACTCTTCATAAACAGGCTCAACCAAAAAAGCTAGATGGGTTTAGAAGCGTACCTATTTGCCGTCACGGCGCTTGAAAACGAGGTGACTATCCACCATCGCTTGTAGACTAACGGCAGCATAGGCGGACGATCAGCAGGTACTCCACACTTTGATCTTGCTGTCCGCAACGATACAGTGGCCGGTGTTTATCCCATTGGCAATCATTCTGCGCATGTTTATGCTTGACTGCGTAGATGTTTGACACACTGATCATACCGCGATTGCATTACGGGGAAGCAAGGTATTATCTACATGTATCGTATACGAAGAAGGAAAAAGAAAGAAAGCGCTCGTATGCTTGGCAAAATGTTCTTTTGATGTCATTACAAAAGATACTGATCATTAATCCCATAACGTAGGCTGAAACAAAGAAACACTCTGGGTATCATGTTTATCACCCAATCTACAAATAAAAGGCTCCAATGCTGATAGCCAAACTCCACGCAATGCAAGTGTAAATGCCCATCCCGGATGCCAAGCGTGCGGCGCTTGAATCGTCATCTCTATTGTCCGAAGACGAGTGGCTCGGTTCACCCGATGAACCTGGCGTGGACTTCGTCGCGGCGCCGACGCCCTGTGAAGAGGTGGCGAGCGCGTCGCACGCCGCGCTATCGGGCTCCCCGCCGCCGAGCTTACCGCCGATGTTGGCGACGACGGCTTCGGAGTCGCGAACGGGGATGCTCGCTTTCCCATCGTCTCCTACCTTGACGGTGATGTCCTCGTTGGCGAGCTGGGTCATCTTCCCGTCGTTGCCCTGCTCGAAGCTGATACCGTTCCAGGTCGTGCCGCTGGTGGCGTCGGCGCCGTCGCTCGTCAGGTACGATAGGTGCAGCATCTGGCCGGCGAGGGAAGCGGGCAGGGTTACGTCAACGGTGATGCTCTCCTTGTCGGTCTCCGAAACGTTGGCGACCTTGCCGTTGAGGACGACAAGGGAGGCAAGCGAGTCGCCCTGGTACACGGACCAGGCCTTGACGTACTCGTTGTGAGCAGAGGGATAGTCGGTGATCTCGGCCTGCGCGACACGGGCAGTGCACGACCGGCCGATGGTTTGGCCGAAGGCGGCTATGCCGTAGTAGAGGGGGCGGACAAACCGGTCGCGTCCGAACATGGCGGTCGGCTGCCAGGCGCTGGCGTTGCTGTCATACGTCATGTGAAACTGGACGGACGAGATGTTGATCGTGGCAGCGTAGAACAGGAAGTTGAAGGTCCAGAGGGCGGCGGCGAAGGTGTTGCTTAACCCTTCGACACCCAAAGGGCCGACGACCGACATTTCTCGCAGCGCAAACGGGTGATTGGTCTGCTCGGCTTGGGTGATCTGGGCCTGAATGGCGGACTCGAACTGGGCTTTGGTCGTGTCAAAACGCATCATGTAATCGAGCGTCAATGGGTAGGGGAAGGACCCGACAAAGTAGTAGTAGTTGTGCTGGTTCCAGCTTGAAATGTAGCCGACATCTGAATTGCTGGGCCTTTCGTCGATTCCGTAGCTCGTCAGGTCCTTGATCTCGAAGCCGGTGCCGGCAACCCAGGCCGTCGAAGCGGATGCCTCGAATAAGTTGCTGCGCAGCCCACGCGGCTGCAGGACCCTTTCCCACACGGCGTCGGCACGTTCCCGCCATTCTTTGACGTACTGGGAACCCGTCCACGAGCTTGTCCGGAAGCGGTTGTGGTCGTAGAGGTCCGGCTCGTTTCCCAATTCAAAGGACATGAGGTTGAGGTTCGTACACCGGTCGAGGATCTGGGTGACCATGGTGGTGAGCCGATCGAGATAGTCGGACTCGGAGTAGCCCATGTTCAAGCCCCAAATGACGGGTGTGCCCTCGGGCATGCGGTTGGCAATCTCCATGAAGCGGGGGCCGATGATGAAGTTGTCTGCAGGTACATTGCCGTCTGCGAGTGGCCGAGGGTTCGGCTCAATGAGCCATTTGTCTTGCGAGTCGTCGTAGATGACGTAGTCCTGTGTGTTTCCTCCCAATCGCATATGTGGTGGCCGGCCGGTGAATTCGGCCAGGTTATTAAGGAGGTTGATGCTGAGGTCGTTTGGTGTCTCGTCGCCCATGAAGTAGTAGAGGTGGTCGAGCTCGATGCCGAAGCCGGCGAAGGAGGGGTCGATGTTTGCTGAGACATTGTGGGGGACTTCTTCGGAGAGCGTCAGGGATAGGATGTTATCGGCGGCGAAGGCGGCGGAGATGAGGCCGCAGCCCACAAGGAGACGACTCTGCAACGGCGTCATGTCGAACAGCTCCCGGGGACCGAGAGCGACTTTGAATCAAAGTGGGCAGGCTTGGGTAGGGCGGCGGCGGTATGGTCTCTGGAACATCGTGAGAACCCAATGAAGAGCGGGACGGTCAACCGACTTTAAAGGTTGCGCAAAACCCAAGGAAAGCAACCATTTCATCATTGCAGTGGATCACAAAGCCGGAGTTTTGGGGGGGAGCCCTCTTGCGTCAGTCGAAAACCCTTGTTGGTAGCTGGCACCAAGACTGGGCGTTTGCTCCAGTCTGACGCGTACTACACACATCGACGACTACTATGTGTATCAATTGGCAACGGGCGGGTGTATTCTGGAGGGAACAAACAGTGTGATGCGGATAAACCCAGTTTTCCTCCCGCACCACGCACCAAGATCTGTTTCGGGTCCTTTTCACCGAGCCCATTGGAGAGAGTCACAACTCCACGGGAGCCTAGACCAGTAGCCGTGAGAATGCCATGCCTGATTTGGCACGTTCGATGCCGTTGGTGCCGTGATTGCGACGGCCGGCTGGTGGGTTGATGACATCAGAGATGGATTGCAGACCCTGTCGAGCCAGTGGGCCAAGCGTTGGCAGATTTCTTACACACTACGGTATCCGTACACTACTCATGGCTACGGCGTAGTTTAATACGCTAGCAGAGCAGATTTGTATCCGCCCCGCAGGATGTGCGCGGGTAGCAGGGCAAGCCATCGGTGATGTCAAACAGAGCTTGGTTCGTGTTTTGCGCAAGATTGAGACAATGGCCAGCCCATCGACGAAGAAAAGGTCCGCAAGGATGGGGGGCTTTGCTCGGCCCGTGTGCATGTGTGTTTGAGGGCGAGGTTGATAAGGTTGACGGCGCCCTTGCTGGCGCCATGTTCCTCCTACAGCCTGTTGCGGTTAGGATGGGTGCCAACGGGAGGTTTCACAACCAGTGACCTCTTGGCCGCTCGCCGTTCGGGGCTGTGGTGTCCGTCTCTGACATGTTCCGTTTCCTGCAGGAACAATAGGAGAGCGCGTCGATTTATCCGTACTGTCGATCGCTTCTGTCCTCCTAAACGAAATTGGAAACAGATCGCTCCGACACCCGCTGAAGAGATGCAGCTCTCTGATGGAGATTTCCAACCGAACACCAGATTCTCGGAAGAGATGCGAGAGACTCTTTGCGCTGCCGTGTCACAGCGGAAGCAAGCGACCCTCAGAACGACACAGTTCGTCGCACCCCACTAGCAGCAACGAATATTTGCTGGGGAAGAGGAGCACAAACCGACGGACGGGGACGGCACTGCGGGAATCGGCCGGGAAATCCGCGTCAAATTGGCTGACGTCAACCTGATGTAGGGGACGGGGACGGTTGCGGTCACCAGGCTGTCCCGGTTTTGCAAACCGCCAAGTATCACACGTGCGGAGGGAATCGTCACGGAACCATACACCAAAACATGCGCTGCACGAAACGCCGATACCGTCGGGGAAGTCGAGTCGTCTGCCTCTAGGCCGAAAGTTTTGAGCGCGAGTGACCGGGCATCCCCTCTAGGCGCTCGCGCATCCTGGTTGAGCTTATTGACCCCGAGGATTGTTACGTTTCCTTGGAGGCCTTTTTGTTGATGCGTCAATGTCTGACAATAACCCCATAGAAACATAGGTCAGTCAAGAACGTCCCTGTCCAAGCGTCTCTTTTTGACCTTTTCAATGTCCGTTCTATATAGCTTTGATACACCGCAACGAGCAACGAGCACCCGAGCTGGCAGGAAAGGCAACCGGAAGCCTGGAAAATGGCATGGCTGGTAAGAGATCTGCTGTTCTCCACAGCCAAGGCTCGCACCCCGTCTCTGCCCCCCCGCTGACCTACCCCCCATGCCTTGGCATGCCGGGCACTCCAGCCCCGACGATCAGGAACTCCGTGCTGGACCGGCGGTGTCATAATGATTCTTTTCTGTTTGCATGCCAGCCTGCCCCCAGGTAACTCGATCTGGCAAACAGCGGCCGGATGGGATGTGCCAGCAGCACGTGCCAGTCTAGCAGGCGCCGGACATCTTCCCAGCTAAACCAGTCCCGCACCCAGTAATGGCTTCATAGACGAACAGGTTTGAATCATGGTTACAGGAACGTCAAACCGAGATTAAAAAAAAAAAATTCGATTGGTTCCTCGTTGATTCTTGATCACAAAGCACTCTGCTGAGCTGGTCTGGGAACAACGTTGCGTCTTCAATTGAGGGTTTGTCCAACACTCCAGACCGTTTGCTACCCGAAGCCTATCAGAGCTAGACGCCAGTTCAAAAGTTCCTCGAGGCCCATCTTCCGGGAGCAAATTACCGCATTAGCGGCTCCGGATGTACCGGTATACTTGTGGCTGCACTTGTCTTGGATGAGCCGCATAACAAGCCCCCCCCCTTACCACCGCCAAAAAGTCAAATTGACGGTTGTCAATTTGTCCGTCTCCAAAAAGGGAACCTACTCATCACCCCTTGAGCACGACACGACATCCAGCTTGCTCTGATTTTATCTTGGAGCATTCTTCTAGCAGGTCGTGGACAGGCATGTCTTCACAATGCACTTCATAGCAGACTACTGGCGGCTAAAGACAGCAAGCGCTGCTCAAATCTTCATGTATTAATTAACCATGGCCTCGGTGGGCTGGGCGTTATTACTTCTAGGCGGTATGCTAGACCACACTCTCCATGCAAGCCACTCACAGCTTAGCAGTACTTGCAGGCACCATCCGGGCAGTAGCCGTGGCTGCAGCTGAAGCTGCAGAGCCCCTTGTAGCTCTCGTCCAGCCCATCGGCAGGGCAGCCATCGCGTCCGTCACCGGCGGGCGGCGTCGTCGGCTGGCCGAAGGTGGAACATTGGCACACACCGTCGGGGCAGTATCCGTTGGAGCACGAGAAGCTGCAGAGACCAAGGTAGCTGTCCGACAGACCAGACTTGACCGTGCCGCCGACACAGACAGAGCCGGTCGCGGTGGGGGCAGGGACTGTGGAGGTGGCGGTCGCGGTGGGGACGGGGCACTTCTCCTTGATAAAGGCGGCGGCATCGTTGGAATATAGCTGGAAGTAGTTGGTGTGGGCAGCCTCGCCGCCGTCATTGCCCGAGGTCGTCGCGCAGACACCATCATCGCCGTTGCACCAGGAACGCAAGACGCTAGCGAACTGGTTCATGTTGCGCAAAGACGAGGCGGAGCGGGCCATGGTGCCGCTGTAGGCTGCTCCGGCTCCGACGTTGTAGCTCTGGCTGGCAACGTGCGTCGTATCACCGAAAAGAGTAGCGGCGCAGACTGTCGCGACGGATGTTAGTTAGTCACCGGCAGACCCATCTGCTAAGATGCTGGTTGGGAAAACTTACTCTTGCTTCCGGGAGCAGCTCCGGGGGTAAGTCCGGAATCGGCCAGGATGTTAGCAACAACGTTGCCGCCCTCGCTGTAGCCGCTCACGACGATCTTGGAGTTGGGGCACTTTGCGACGTACGCCCTGATCTGAGAGACGCCCGAGGCGCGGCCCTGCTCAACCGCTCTAGCGTAGCCGTTGGCGTTGGTAGCGTCGAACCGGATATCTTCGTAGTCGCAGCTAACAAGGCCGTTGCAGGTGGCGTCAATGAGGGACTGATGACGACCTGGGTATCCCTCATTCCATCCTCGGCCGACGAAGAGGTGCAGGTCGGTACAAGATCCGGTCCCAGTGGACTGGCGCTTTCCAGGGGCTGCAGAGGCCAGGAGGACTAGGTTGAAGAGAGCGGCGGCTTTCGGGGACAGCATGGTGGCGAATTACTATTAGGGTATTATTGACGCTGCGATTAACTGAAGCGAGTGAAAAGCGAGTGACACGGTTGACGAGACGGCCGTAGAGAGACAGGACATTTGGAACAGGAGGTCGGGGAAGACGGGGTTCTTTTTCTATTTACTCCGTACCATCATTGCAATGGAAATGGATGGCGCGGAGTGCGAGATGCCGTCCTAACCCATCTGTCACATCTAGAGCCATCTAGAGCAGCCCTGCAGTGTTGCCTGAATGTTCCTTTCTTCTTCGACTAAGCTGACAACATGACAATAGTGGGTTGCTTCGGAGCTGAACTTCTAAATTGGCATAAACATCATCGCCACATGGCGCGGTTGCAGGGGTGGGTTGAGGGGGCATGCATGCGCTTTTTTGCTGGGCAATAGGTAATACGAGGAGAAAGTACGGATACGAGAGACTGCCAGCAAAGCTCGCAGTTAGTCTGGATGAGGTTACAATCTTTTATGCAACCCCCAGAGAGGGGTGTATGGTCTATTGTTTTCCAAAGCACGTCCAGGGGCCGATGCTGTGCTAAGTGTGTTTTTACATGCCAACCCCCCTTGGGTTTAATCGAACTGCTGCAACATGAACCGGAGTTTATTCTTGCAGCTCCGAAAAGCTCCCTGCCCCCTTTGCTTTGATGCAGGATCGGGCAGAGATGAGGTTCCTCTGTCGGTACGGATAGTTCTTGTCAACCTCACTACATACCATCTTGGATCCTCGTTGAATTCAACCAAGGGGTTATTATCACCAACACACGTCAATGAAGGTCAATTTTCATTGATACGCTCTTACTGAGGGGGGCTGTTCGGCCTGCACGTGATGCTCTTGCATTCATCATAGGGTTTATGCTCTGATCAGTCGCACGCCGTACAAGGTATAATGTATTACACGGTGCAGCATGCATTATTATCAGTGACTCCGAAACTCCGATTTGTTGGGTTACTATCAGCTAGTGAGTGATACGTTAGTCTGCTCCAGGCAAACTTTAATGTCCCCACTATCCGCGGCATCTTTTGCCGTTGTTAGTGTATTCTTATCTTGTCCATCAGCTCGATGGAAAACCGTTCATCCGTATTTCCGTCAACATGAAATGTGTGTGGCTAGATCACCTTGGACTACTCCACTCAAAGCCATTGGGCACCCCGCCGAACCCGAGACATTATGTTACACTCCCCAACCTGCGGTGTGCGTACTTACAATTAATTAGGAACACAAGTAATTACTCCGTACCGCGCGCTAATCTTCAACATGCTGGGGGAGGTTATGAGATCTGCTGAGGTATTCTTCCTCCTGAGATCTTGAGAAAAGTAACTAGCACAGCCCACACTGGAAGCGGGCCGGCACCACAACCGTCAGCATACGCCAGGTATCTAATCCCTCTACTGGCATGCGCGGAAATTATTGGTGTCACTCCCGGCTTACTGAGGCTCTACTCCAAATTGACTGAGATTTATGGAATGCTGCCGCTTTCTTATCAGTCGTACTCACTTCAATCCATTTACGGTGATAATAGAATTGCCATGAACACCGACCACGGAAGATTTATTGAAAACACTTATCACAACATTCTTTCGTTGCATAAGGATGAACCGCAGCCTTGATGTACTCCTTGATCTTTGAAATGTGATGAACTGAACCTCAGCGTCTGTTAGAGAGAATGCAAAGTGGTTGTTCTTTCTAGAATCTACACAGGAGACCAAATCGAGTTGAAATACCCTCTCCAAGTGTGCCATGCTGTTTGGTGAGCCACATCTGTGGCGCTCACAGCTGGTACTAGCCACACGAAGCTATCCCAGCTTCACGACAACATATCTTTCAGATAATGGGACTTTCGATGATTGCTTACATGATGCAGTCGATATTGCTGAAAACGTATCCATGGATCCTCTGCTAAAATTTCCTAACTTCCCTAGTGATGATTCAAACTTACTATTAGCTTGACTTAAGAAGAGGAATTCCGTTGGTTATAGAGCAGGGTTAGGCTGCAATATGGCATCTGAAAGGGCCACCAGGAGATGCAAACAACTACCTAACAGTACCAAAGCAGGTTTGAACTTTCAATATGCTAGTAATGATCGTGTATCGTTCTCTGACAAGTGTTATGGTTCGGATCAAACTGCACTATCCTCTCGATGCCTGTGTCGTTTGTACCGTGGACGTGGTGGCTGGGGAGGCAGAGATTCTCTCTCCGCTACAGCCACGTAGGAAACACTGCTTCGCCTGCTGGGTGCATGCTTCTCTCCTGGCTCTTCCCCTGTTTGTCCCCATCCGCCAGATCTTGTGAACACAAAGCTTCGGTACTCTGTTCCGTCTTTTGGGAAATAATCCAGTTGATTGCGTGGCTGAAGAGGAATATGGTTGAACCGCCAATCCCAAACAGCGGCGTAACATCCGCGGTACGAGCCAAAGGCAACAGTAGTACCGATAGCACTTCCTACCACTATATCGTACCAGTTGTGCGCCTGATCAATCGTTAAGGAACAGGCGATAAGCAGTGCTCCAAGGAGCGGAGCGAAAGTAAGAGCAATCTTCCAGAGAGCAGGACGATAGTCGGCCCACACCTTCAACTTGGCGTTGAGGTACAGGAACAGATAAACGTAGCCTGCAAATGCAGCCGTGGAATGACCTGATGGGAAAGAGGTCATAGCATTCTTCAGCTTCTTCGAGTCCGGCTGAGTGCAAACATCGACCGAGTACATGACCTGCTCGAAGCCCACAGCATTGAGTCCTGTCGCATTGTTGGTGGTTGCCCGTGAGACATCCGGCATACAAACTGCGAGGAAATAGGGCCGAAAACCACCAATAAGTTGCTTCGTCACGACCTGGATTAAAGTGCCCAGTGATACTGAAAATATGAGGCCAATGATGCCGTTGCTCACATCCCAAATGCTCCTGACGCGAAATTGGGCCAGGAGAATGACGGCGATGGGAATGGAGAGGGATAGCAGCGCAGATAACCAGGTCTCGATGATCCAACCGCGGTCTGGGTATGCGAACTGAGGGTAGACGATCTCTCCCGAACCGTCAAAAGTGATGGGGAAATTTCGGACTGCTGCGAGGGGGGCATTGAAGATCTTCCGAGACGTGGTCAGCAGCAGCTCTGCTTGCTGTCGCCCTTACGCTAACTTACGCCGAGAGCGGCACCGCCCAATGCAGCTAAGACGAAAATGTCGAACCAAGTAATGCGAAGCCATGCAAGGAAGAAGTCCCAAGATGCCCTCACCGAGCGAATTGTGTCACGCGTAAACTCAGGCGGAGGATCGTCGTCATCGCCATGAATCCGTTGCACTCGACTGTTGGAATGCATGGTCTGACTAGGTCGGTCGATAGATGCAGACCTGTGGCTAGGCAAATTTCTGTATTGTTTACACTGTTAATGCCAGGGAAATGGATAAAAAGTCATGGAGAAGTGGGAGTTTCGTGGATTCGGAGTCTTTTAGTAAGGTCTACATCCGTTCCTAGGGGGTCTCAGGCGTAAAGCTACACAGCCATCTCGTCATCCCATCATTTCTGCTTTCTCTGTCAGAGCTGACTGCAACGCACGGTAGACGCGCGTTATCCCTCTGATACAAACGGGTCTGGGCATTCCTCTTTCTTTCTTTTTGTCGTTATGAGCCCGATAGCTCAGTCAGCCGCGAAGACGTTGGTGGACACGAAGTTAAGATGAAGGACCTAGTGCAAACTCTCGACATGGGAAGCAGCTTGATGATGGGCCAATAACACTGCGATTGTAGGCCAAGATTCTCAAAACGCATGAAGCTTGCAACCTAAGCTATCTATTTCTTCTCGATGTCTCTGCCGAGTAACTTAAACCCTACAATAATGCTCTTCCATTCATGTTCTTTTCAAGGTATATTCCAGCTTCTCACTGTACACATCCCTCAGCCGCGTAAGTATCGCAGACTGCAACAAGTGAAGCGTTGTCATAGACGGTCTGATCTACACGGATTTGGTCTCTGAAGCCGGCCCCTATCTCCAGTAGTTCTTGGCCTGGGACCCGACCGTCTCCTCGGATTTGCTGATCAATGTCAGGACCAAACCGCCCGGCCCGACCACCGCCGGATCGCCCGCCGACTGCAACAAGTCGGCCCTCATCATGGATGCCCTCTCCCATATAGACATGGCCGCCTAAGTGGGCATTTCCCTCAACACGTCACTGGCGTAGCACCCGTTCCTCTGCCATGCCATCTTGATTCTGTAAGCTTCATATATAAAGACTCCTAGATCTTTCTGCTTGTCTCCCACAGAGCCAATCGCTTCCCGCTCCATGTTCAAACCGTTTCTGCCCACAAGATACTCAAACGCTGTGATGACTTTGCCCACCGGTCTCCAGTCCTTACCAACCTGCCATCCCATTTTTCCTTTCCCATCCTCTTTAAGCGAATCATATTTCACTCTTTATTGGGACAGAACGGTCTTAGCCTCGGCTAGGGGAGGCTCGTCATCACTCCCTTCATACTCCTGAGTCTGCCGTTCGGAGGGCCACCACGTAACCATATGAACAACTCGACATCTTGAAGGAGGGTGTAATTTGTCGTTGGAAAATAAGTTCAACGCCGAGAGAAAATTGTTGATTGGCTCCTCGATAGGGGCGTGCGGGACATGTTTGGCTGGCCGGTTCTCGGATTACCACCGCGATGGGGGAGATGATGTGTGCAATTGAGGCTGGAGGCTTGAGTTGGTTGTGATGAAGTCTAATAGAGAGGAACAAAAGATGGCATGATTAAGCTTACGACCTCTATGAAATCTAGACTAGCAAGCAAGAAGAAATAACTTCAATGTGTCCATGTCATCGGTCATCCAATCTTGTTTTCAGGTTTCACCTCATACGTCGTCGTGACCACGATTCCTCCTTGTTGCCCGCTTGAATTGCTAGCGAGAGCATTGTCGCGGCCGCCTTTCGCAGACCAGACTGGCTCAGAAGGCATGACAATCTGCTCCTCTCTCGAGTTGATGTCCAGTTCGGTCATGTTATATTTGTTATGAAGTCTCTTAGAAGGTTTACCGGATTGATCCACGTTCTGTCCCCCGCCCCCTATTGTAACCAGTTAATGGCCATACTTATCGCTGAAACCAGTGTATTTCTGGTTTGCCCCATCACTACTTCCCTTGGAAGATCCCAGCCAACGTGAGCCAGGGAAGAGGGGTCTGATACACGCTGCATTGACTGCAATAATTCCGACGAACTGTTAAAAGGGAGCAAGGTTAACCTATTGAGTGTTTTTGTGACGTTTGCCTGTGTCATCGGGTACGAGTGTTTGGACATTCTTACTGTTTCTCTGATCGCCCAGATGGTGCTGACATTGATGCCATTAATGTCCCTCAGCGACAAGACGCAGCGAAGCAGTGCTGCAATCATCACGAACATTCCTGAGCAAAGCAGCATACCGATGGCCAAGTTCCTTTCGAAATTGAGTTTGACCGCCCATAGCAGAGGTAGCGGTATCGATACAATGAGCATGTCCGTGCTACATTTTTCTTGTCAGTGGCTGCTGTTGAACCCCAGAACGACTTGTTACGTACGATATGTTGAGCACCACCAAACACAGATAGTTGGCCACAGCCACAGTGCACTGATCTGAGGGAAGTGTTAATGAACGCGCCACACTCATCGTCAGGTTCAAGCTAGCATACCTCCTGGGAAAGGAATCACCTGCCAATTCTTGTGAACCGGGGTGAAATGACGCCAGATCACAAGTATCACTCCCACGTAGGCGAAAATGGTTGAAATAGCTGTCCATTTGACAGCCCTTTGTTGGCTTGTTTCAAGTCTTTTCGTGCCAATACGTCAGTCAGATGGTTGCGGAACATCAAGTCCTAAAGAAAACAAGGCACTTATGTGATGCGGTTGAAGAAGAACAGGATGCAAGCCTTTAGGCACCAGATAAGAGTAATGTAAAAGTTCTAGCCCGTCAGCAAGCATTTGGAGCCGAACTCAAGCTTCGCAATCTTTTCTGCCGTCAATGTGGCGCCAATCTCGTCCGTGATTCCGATATTGGTTCCATTCTGGCCTGAAAGGGTGTTGGAGGGGCAAAATTAACAAAGAAGAGCGATGTACTCACCAATGAGCTCCAACATTACCAGCTCAGGCTGAGAGAAGGAATGGTTAGAGGGTGCTCCACAAATTTCAGCTTCTCAGAACCTCAATCCTGAGTCGTTTGTGCTACTTACTGTCCAGAAAACAAGACAAAGGACAGCGAAGTAGCCATCGCCTTGCCAGTTGAAACCAACAATTTTCCTCCTCGAAAATATGCGAAGAAGGATAACAAATACCCCAAGTTAATACTCTGTCCAAGCCTCTGTTTGGAAAGGTGTTGCCATTGCGGTCGTGGTGAAATGAGCGGAGGAGCCAATCTTGGCAAACACCAAGCGTAAATTTACGGGTGGTCGAGATGGACGTTGAAAACCTTTTTGCCTCGACGGTGGATTAAGACAGCGGATCGTCTTGGATTAGTAGCAGCACCGCCTCCAGCGGCTTCTTGCTCTGCTTCACGAAAATATACTTCAAACTTCCCAGCAGATTCGGAATCTTCTCCCCCTGATTCTCATATACATCAGCGTACGGTCCAAACAACTGCCGTTGCTGGGTAGGCCATGGTCAAACGCTCCAGCACCGTGTCCAGATAGAGCTAGGTTTGTGCAAATCATGCGTTCAATGGTATCTTAGCAACTTAACGGTTACTACTCCAATTCTTGTATTTTCCCGCGGGGTTTGCTCCGCCCTCTAATCACTCATGAACAATCAAGGAGCGAAGCCTTAGTCAAATGATCCACCTTTTTCGGCCAGATGGATGCTCGTTATACCCGCCGTTCCCGTGTGTTTCCGTCCGGCCCCCTTTTCCGGTCTTAGGTAGTGGATATCACACCGGGGCCCCAGGGTTCGATGTTCTACTGAATGTTGCCGTCATCTTAACAGGGTTCCCCGCGAATTTTGGCCACAACATCTTGTGCAACGCTCCGAACTCGAATGGTTCAAATGGATAAGTCCTATAACGATGAGGGTCACAGCCGCTTTCCAAATTGCTCTTGAGGTAGTATTAGAGCCACGTCGAGTTAACGTGAGCGAATGATTGGAAACTTCTAGTGACGTCCGTATCGTCGTTGTCGAAGGCTGCAAAGCATGGACATGTCAGTCATCTTTGTTGGACTGTCAAAATGTGACATATAACTACACGCCACGTACTTACTCTTAGCGCTGTATCGTCATTGGTCTTCAAGTCTTCGCTCACGATGATCATCGTTCCGCATTTGTCCGATGCACAATCTTCATGGACCGATCATCATTTATGCAACTTCAATGGTCATCATACAAGATTGGTCTAGGGCATAAGTACGAACCTCTTGGTGACCCTCATAGAACCCTCATTCCTGCCTTGTTCTCAAATAAGATGGAGGCTTGGAGGTATCCACCATCAACAGTCTTGTTCCGAGTCCGTGAGAACCCTGGACTCTGGGCCAGCTGGTGTGGAGAAACAAAGTAATGTGTAAAACCTTGTGTGCCGAACACCCACTCCCTCTGCATCCTTAGTTCTAATCAGTCAGGCTTGTAAAACAGAGTCACATAGCTGAGGTGAAATTGCCCTCACATCACTACAATACTGTAGTGTGATGGGTAAGTAAGAAGTCCCTAACAGGTAGTGCGGAGTTTATAACCCACGTACGTCGAGACTCTCACTGGCCAAATCTGTACCGGATGTGCACAAGAACCTTGAAGAATCTATTCTTGAGATGAAGAAGCACGGCCACATTTACACGAGGGTGCTAAAATTGGCCTGATACCGTAGTATTACCGAACTCTCATACTGGAAACGCTTGGCAAAGGTGCTGTATTGCCTTTCTTGCTCTCATTGGTGCTCGGTGCATGCATGCTACCGTCGGCTTTGGCTCGGAGAGGAGCCCTGAATGCTGGCCAAAGGCTGCATACAAGAAGACTGGTCCGAGCTGCCGACAGATACTAGTTCGCTTGCTCATCTCTTTTCCGTCAACGTAAGGCCAACATTGCTCGCCGTCGCCAAGTTACTCAAGCTGTTCTTGTTGTTACCATCAACATGGGATCTACGCCCCAAGATATCACGTACGACTTTGTCATTTGCGGGTAAGCTCTCTGATCGGCATTAATCGAAGTAACGTTCGTCCCGCCGCAGTCGCTGACTATGTTCTCTTAGAGGAGGTACCTCTGGATGCGTTGTTGCATGTCGTCTTGCCGAGATCCCTGGGACCAGTGTTTTGGTTATCGAAGCTGGCGCACACAGCGAAAACCTCGAGAATGTCCACATGGCAGGGGGGTAAGGCGCGGCCCAAGCGCTGCCATTAGAATGCGACTAACATGCGTCTTCTATCCACAGCTGGTCTGAGTTATTTGACAAGGAAACCGATTGGAATGTCATCAGTGAGAGGAAGCCTGCTGTCAACAACCGACAGGTAAAGTTGAGCCGTGGCAAGTTCCTTGGTGGGTGTTCTGGCTGTAACGGCACGCTTTGCATCCGTGGCTCGAAGCAAGACTACGATGACTGGGAAGTCGATGGCTGGAGTGGTGAAGATTTCTTCAAGTACATTCGCAAGGTCAGTACGGAGTACACTATAAACTTTCAACCGAAAAACTCTGTCTCTCGCCCCACATATATTCCGCGTGCAGCTGCTGCATTGCCGAATATATGCTCTGAGAAAGATGCTGACATTGTTGGCAATCATGATAGGCAGAGAAGTTCCATGGCAAGTCTTGGTTTGAAGCATCCGATGACCATGGAAACAGCGGATACTTGAACATCGAACCGCAAGGTCTCGCCCCCATTTCCAACCTCATCATGGACTCAATGATTTCTAAGGGACTGCCCCTTGACCATGATATGTTTACCCATGGAAATAACCCTCATGGATGCGGGCATGTTCCTAGAACAGTCCACAATGGATTGCGTAGCACTGCCGCGGACTTTGTTACCAAGGAAAACAAGAAGAACAACCTTGATCTCATGGTTGAGACGCATGTCGAAAAGGTCATCATCGAAAACGTAGATGGCGAGCTTAGGGCTACTGGCGTTCGTGCTATCAAAGCTGATGGCTCCGCGGTCCAGATAAAGGCTAGCAAGGAGGTAATTGTTAGCGGCGGTGCTTACTGCAGCCCTAACATTCTCAACCGATCTGGGATCGGGGCGAAGTCTGAGCTAGAGGCGTTCGGTATCCCGACTCTGGTTGACTTGCCAGGCGTCGGTAAGAACCTAATGGACCATCTCGTAAGTTCCCGTAAGGTTTCATTGTTCACTGAAACAAGTCACTGACGCTGTTAATTTCCCAGATTGTATTTATGTTTTACGAGACTGAGAAAGCCGGACTTACAACCGACCATCACGTCTACCATGGTGACAATTTTGCCAAGACATACGCTCTGTGGAAGGACCAGAAGGCCGGCTTTCTCTCATCTTTCCCTTTCGGTGCATTTGCTTACGCTCGTCTGGATGAGCGTCTTGCAGATTCGGATCTGTGGAAGAACGCACCACGTGCTCCTGGCCGTGACCCGATGGGCCTGACACCGAAGCAGCCAAACATCGAATTCTTCACAACGGAGTGCTATGGTGGACCAAAGCAATTCGATAAGTTCCCGACTGATGGAAAGCATACTTTTAGCATGATTGCCGAGCTATTTGGCCCTCGGTCTCGTGGCACGGTGACCCTCCGAAACACCGAAGCCACAGCTGTTCCGGTGGTTGACACCAACTATCTCGCTGACCCTCTTGATGTCGAGGTCCTGGCAGAGGCGTGTCGGTTCGGCAACGAGATCATCATGGAAGGCAAGGGTACCAAGGATATTGTCAAGGGTTCCTGGCCGAGCGACCTGGTGCACCACAAATACAGAACCCGTGAGGAATGGATCCCCTATGTTCGTGACAATGCGACAACTTGTAGGTTCTTCGAATGCGAAACCCAGAATGCACTTGCTGACAGTCATTATGTAGGCTACCATGCCGCGGGAACTTGCGCTATGGGAAAGGCATCAGACCCTAACGCCGTTGTTGACCCTACTCTCACTGTGAAGGGCGTCAAGGGTCTCCGAGTGGCTGACTGTAGCATCATGCCTATTCTCCCTGGAGGCCATACGCAAATGCCTGCGTATGGAATCGGAGAAAAGGCTGCCGATCTCATCAAGGAAGCATGGAAGTTGTGATCGCATCAAGGAGGCTTAGAAAAATTCAGGTAAAAGCCGAAACTGCTTCTTTTCCCGGCACGACTGGAAAATCAAAACATGAAATCACCAAAACTGGCCATTGTCTCATTTAGATGGCACCAGAAATCAGAGTCCATGTCTTGAAGCAGCAGTAGTAAGACATCATAGAGCTAGCGTTCTCGCCTTAATTTGCATGTTCCTAGCTATTGCGGTCTACTGCCTTTGAAAAACAGGCATCCACTCCAAAGGCGTCTCAATGTCAATCCATCTGCCCCCCTCATAGGTGTTCGACTTGCCCTCAAGTAGCGGCTTCCATTTGCCCTCTCCCTCAAGAACAGGCAGATAAACACTGATGCTCGTCTTTCCAGACTCCAACACGGGGCACACCAGATATTTGTCTCCGAACATGTACTGCTGACCGATGTTCCATGTCTCCTTGTCACTTGGGAAAACGTAGAAGAGTGTTCTCATCACAGGCGTACCCCTTTCGTGTGCCTCCTTCATCAGAGATCGGATATACTCACGCAACTCCTCACGAAGAAACATGTACCTCTTGCAGATTTCATAGACCTCAGGGCCGTATGACCAGACTTCATTGGGTGCACCGCTGCGGCAAGTTGTACCTCCTGTAGTACCCTGCTGCGGCTGCTCTGGCTCGCGGCATCCATGGAGGCGGAAGACGGGACAAAACGCGCCCCATTGGAACCAGCGGACGAACAGCTCACGGAAGTTTTTGTCTCTCGGGTCGCCGCCATGGAAGCCTCCGATATCAGTGGTCCACCAAGGAAGGCCGCAGAGACCCATGTGAAGGCCAGCAGCGACCTGGTTCCGGAGGCTGCCCCAGGAAGAAGCGATGTCTCCGCTCCATACTAGAGCGCCATACTTTTGACTCCCCGCCCAGGCACATCGAATAAGGTTGACAATGTTTTCCTGTCCTTCTGCCTTCATGCCTTCATAAAAGGCGCGTGCATATTCGACCGGATATATGTTTCCGATAGAGACGTTAGAGCCCAGATGATAACGGTATGTGTCGAAGTTGTACACGGTATACTCAGGTTCGGCCTCATCAAGCCAGAAGACACGGATTCCTTTATCGTAATAGTTCTTCTTCGCTTTCTTCCAGACATAATCTCTGGCGCCAGGGTTCGTTGCGTCGAAGTGAGTAGTGTCTCCCTGGAAATTCATGGCGATCCGAATACCTCTGTCGGACTGGATGAGGTATCCCCTTTCAACCATCTCGTCCCAGTTCTCGGACTTTTGATCCACGGTCGGCCAGATTGAAACCATCAGCTCGATCTTTAGCTCTTGTAGCTCTTTGATCATGGCTTCCGGGTCGGGCCAGTATGTTGCGTCGAACTTCCACTCTCCTTGCAGCGGCCAATGGAAAAAGTCAATGACGATAAGGTCTATGGGCAGCTTGCGTCTCCGGTATTCGCGCGCAACTTCCAGTAGCTCCTCCTGTGTTTGGTATCGAAGTTTGCATTGCCAAAACCCGAGGCCGTATTCAGGCATCATCGGAACTTTGCCGGTGACATTGGCATAAGCCTCGACAATCTCCGCCGGAGTGTCACCGGCCACTATCCAGTAATCCAGGGCACGAGTAGACTTGGCCTCAAAGCTCATGATGTTGCGACCGAGAACAGCTCTTCCGACAGAAGGGTTGTTCCAGAGAAAGCCGTATCCCAGCGATGAGACGGCAAATGGGACACTGGCTTGGGAGTTCCTGTGCGCAAGCTCAAGATCGTGGCCCTTGAGATCCAGAAATGGCTGCTGGTACTGTCCCATACCGAATATTTTCTCATTGGCGTTGACGCTCTCAAATCGTGCTGTAAGGTGGTAGTCGTTGCTGTTCACGATGGCGAGGAATTCGCGAGCTTCGACATCAAGAGCGCTGCACTTGGGGTCTAGTACATCTCGTCGGTGACGGGAATACTCCTCGAGTAGCAATTCGCCCTTGGAGTTCCACATCAATAATTTTCCACCTCGAGTAAGAGAGGCCTTAATTTTCCCGTTGGTGATGGTGCCGGCGTTTGCATCAATGGCGATATCGACCTTGGTTTTGTTGGGATTAAACAGAGCCCAGTCTTCAGTAGGCATTTCGCGGGCTTTGCTCGCCCGAACTCGGAATGCATTGGGCCCCCATGCTTCAACCCAGAGCTCCTCCGCATCGTAAGTGAAGACCAGCTTCCCGTCCTTTTCCTGGAGTCCCATTCTTGTCGTCTGAAGGTGTTGATTAGCGGTCGAGCTGAACAATCGATGGTGACGACGGCGCCCTCAAGATATCGAAAGAGGGGAGAACACTTTCAGCTGAGGGGTAGTTTTGCGCAGCCCAGAAGTAGGCTTTTGTAGGCTACGGAGCAGATATGTCTCGGGTTAGGGAGCCCCGAGTGCGGAGTTGCTCCTGTTGCCGATGACCATGAGCCTATGAGATGGAGATCGCAGGCCAGGGCGATGGCACGACGAGGGCAGATGGCATACTGCGTTCCGAATTGACCACTTGGAAGCAGTGAAAGCCGCCATGTCCGCCAGCGGGTTCCAGAATTCCCCGCATCCCTTGAGCGAATGATGGTAACCAAGGGCAAGTTACTAAGTTGGAGTCACCAAGGCGCCGAAACCGACTCTCCGCAGACGCGGGCGCGAAGAAAGTTGAATGTCAAGTTAATGTGATGCCGGTTATTTTAGCTAAACCGAGTGGATTCTATGTATTCAAGAATTATCAATCCTTTCCGTTTCCTAATGGACATTAATAATCATGTCTGATGGCCCAGCCCCGCGCTGCAAAGACAGATACACTTTCATCTCCAATCTTTATTTTATATTTTCAGCCAAGCCCACCCTTGTATGCCCAATGTCAACGTGAGAGGGGTTTCCATTGTGTGGCTGTTGCCGCATAGACGCTTGGTTCATCGCTCGTTGATCGCCCTTTTGGTAAACGGAGGAGCTATCGTCTGAAGACGTCTGAACGTCGGTAGTATCGCTCAGGACGTTTTCTATTGCTGTGACATCATTCTGATTCCGATTCGAGTCTGCAAGCTCTTCCCTTATTTCCGCCATAGTCTTTTCTGCTTGAGCGGCATACTTGCATCGAGTACGAATAGCCGCGCCATATTTGTAAAACAAAAATGGGAATGGCACGCAACCAAGTGCCAGGAATGCAGGTATCGAAGAGGCCCAGTTGGTTCCAAGATTTCTGTACATATATTTCGTAAACAAAGGAAATGCGGCGCCAAATAAACTGCGAATGACGCAGTTGGCAGCGAGTACGCTTGCTGCGAAAATGGTATAAGCGTCGATGAGGTAGTTGCTAATCCCCATGAAGAGCAAGATCATGGAAAACCCGAAAGGAACGCCAGCGGCAACACTGGCCATCCAGTGTATGGATGGGTTTGTTGTCCAAGCAAACCAAAACAGCCCGATGGGAGCGGCTATAGCTCCAACCATGACTGAGATCAGGCGCGTTTCCGGGGGCGCACGTCCGCCTTTCCTCTTCCGGACTCGTTGATACCGGTTGTTTTCGGGCACTGAGTAGATGACTGCCGCAATCATACCGACCATTAGACCGAGAAATGGAAGACCGCTGACTCCCTGCGACCAACCTCGCTCTTGTTGATAAACAATGGGGAATGCAGCGAAGAGCATGTAAAGAGTCCCGTAGATGATGGCTGTGTATAATGAGAGAAGTAACACAATGGGTTCGCGAAACAACAAGGTCCACGGCCTTGACAAGGCAGTCTTGAAAGATTGTGCCAGACTGATCTTGCCTTTGTGGTGTTCCATCTTGCTCACATAGCATTTCCCCGTCCTCTTTGATAGCTCAGCAGCTCGTCGGCGAAGTAGGTACGGGGAGTATGTCTCGGGAACTAACGCTGTTCCCACAAGCCAAAATGTCCCAGAAATGGCAGCCAAGGTACCCATAAGCCAGCGCCAGCCAGCTGCAGATCCAAGGAATCCGCCAATGATGGGTCCAAAGACAGGCCCCAGCGACGGCGCTGCTGAGAACAGAGTCATTGCCAGGCCTCTCTCCTCATCTGGGAACATGTCCGCAATGACGCCACCCGAGTTGGAGAGAGGTGATGATCCGAACGCACCGGCGAAAAACCGGAGGACGATGAGAGTTCTAGCGGAGTCTGCACCGGCACATCCGGCGCTGAAGGCGGTCAAGGCGGCGTAAGTTAAGAAGAACACGGACTGGCGCCCGTATAACTCGCTGAGTGGCGCCCAGAGTAATGGTCCCAGAGCGAAGCCTAGGACGTAAAGGGAGACGCCCAAAACCGCTACTTCGTCTGAGGTTTCGAATTCTCGGACGATCTCGGGGATGCCGCCCGTGTACGCGGATGACAAAAGTGATACAGCGAGCGTGGTTAAGGCAACCATCATGGTGATGAACCACCTAGTAGTCTCGCTGTAATTCATGGGGTTCCTGGGATCGTGGGGAATCCATTGCACCAAGAAGGGATCTGCTTCGGTTCCAGAGCCAGAATATTGGTGGTTTTCTACCTCCGGCGTTATCCCTAATTGGTCTACGACTTGGCGCCAGTATGGAATCCTTGTGCGTACTGGAGACTCGAAGGATTCTTGGATCTGTTTTTCGACTTGTTTTCCGGCGTTTGCTGGCGCCATCGCGAGGCAGTTCCCAGAGTTGGATGACTCGTCGGGTGTATAGTAATAAAGAGTATACACAGATGGCCTACGGGGATCCAGGGGCGGGATAAATTAGGGGAGAGGGGCAACTATATTTGTTGCTATTTGGTCGCATTCACCCCGTGGCCCGCCGGGCAAGTTGATACAATCGACCGTAGCGTTGTACACCGAACGGGTTACGGGTCGAAACTAACCCTGAACTCCGTCTACCCCAATACCCTCTGTCTGGTTTGTTTCCTAGCCCCATGCTTGCCTTGGCCCTTGGAGAATACTTAGACAGCTGGCATGGAGATTCAGTGCGCATTATCAGGGATTATCGACAGTTCTCAGATTTTCGACACGGGCTTGAGATTGCTGGACCGTTTTGAAGTTAAAGTGACGCGTCACGGTACTACAGTCTACGGAGTATGACCCGAAAGATCATTGAGGCTCTCGCGGCGTCATTTCTTTCCCATTCAAGACTTCAGCTCATCTGATTCTCTTTTCTAGTCGAATTTCTTTTGTAGGCCTACATTTGCAATTTGACCTAAATGGCTTATACCGTATGCGACGAATCGCCTAATCAAATTTAGCGTTTCGTCAATATTCTTACACATTACCAATAGAGCCGCGAAACCTTTGTAGTCCAATCTACCCTCGGGCATCCATACGGGATTTTACATAAGACGAATAGGTATGCGAGGTAAGGCCTAGAGTCTTTACATCAGCTGCAGAACCAGAGTCGGACGCGGGCCAGGCTTACTTAGATACCCTCACTGCTCTGTAAGTTTGGGACTGGCAGCCAGATTTAATTTTGGCTCCAAAAGGAACGGAAGGATTGGTTGTTCGGTCAATGAACCAACTTCTCCTTCCGTACCGGATCCATGATCGTTAGATGATACGACTCTCGCTGGATGAGATCTCGACAGCACCAGTGCTCATTCCCTAAGTTCAAGATTATCCTCTACCATCATGGATGTCGGACCGGTAGTAAAACGTCGGCCGGGCCGATGACGAATAAGCACTTGCCAGACGGACTAAGCACAAAAATACCGTCCGTCCGCATGTTTCAATTTTCTGTGGGCCTCCTATTCGGTACATCGGAACGGCGGTTGAGAGCTTTCCGCAATCATTTTCGAATCCTTTGCGGGGGATTAGTCTGCCATCCCTGATTTGCGGAGTCATCGGGTCTGCAGTTCCAACATTTCTATTTCCCAAACTTCAAATGCTTACCAGGTGCTTGATGCCAGTCAAGCAGGCATCATGAATTTATTACGGACAGTTAGAGCCGCCATGCCAAGAATAGCCTTGGCTCTTTTGTGTTGTCCCGGGGAGTCGGAACCGCCCAGCCTCCCGTTATTGGCTTGGATGGTACAATTATGCCGGTGGCAGATACGAGGACTTGACTCCGTGGTGTGTGGCGCCCGAAGCAACAATTGTGGCAAGGTAGATTCGGCAACTGGAGTCTTGGCTCTTCATTATTATCAGGAAAATCTTGATAAAGACGGGTTTCATGACGCCATATGTCTCGACTCCTCGTAGCTCACAACCGAGGCCCAAAGATAGGATAGAACGCCACCAATTTTAAGTGGTTCATGATCGAGACCGGCTAGGATACTTGCCGTTCCCCACATCAACTCCAAACCTTTCACACGCAGCAATTCAAGCAATTCCTTGGCTTGATTTTGTGCGACTAACAAGCCTTCCGATAAGAGTATGTAGATGCAACCAAGCTTTTGAAGTAGTTTTGGTTTTGTTATTTCCAGACTTTGGTTGCAGATGCTAGGTTCGAGAATATAAACGTGGATTTCGTGTCATACTTGAAGTTTTGTGTATCTTTCATCATTTTTGACCGTCAACTCCATATGCAATCCATAAAATATATCTTCTAATACGACAAGCCAGCTATACCTGCGATGCCGGCGTAGGCAACGCAAGGATAATCGGCTTGAAGTAGCGGTACCACCGTTACGTTATTTGACGCGCTGGCGCCCAAGAGTGCCAGCTCCTTTCCAAGAGCGCTTCCCACCTTTGGCCATCCAGCCCCAACCCCGCCGGCAGGCTTCTTCGCAAACCCACCCCAGACACCCTGCATGTATGAACTGAGCTGTGTCTGCTGCTGGGTTGCTGCGCCGAACTTGCTGTACTGAGGGTATGTGCCAAAGACTGAGGGTATGTCGCTTGTGTGGTACGCGCCGGCGTTGGGGAATATGCTGGTAGAAGGAAACGAAGCGTCGTAGCGATAACGATAGACGGTATAACCGTTAAGAGCGAGGAAATTGGCCAACGATGATGTCGTGCAAGTGAAAACCGCATCAGTGAAAATTCTATAAACTAATTAGCTCACAGCAATCATCAGTGTCGTCTTAGCCTCATACCTGTCAGCCACATCCGTAATTGCGGTAGTGCCTTTCCCAGCATACAGGGCAAGGATTGAGGACTTTGTGATAGATGAGGTGATTCCAACCGTGGAGAGCGCATAGTCCAAGGCGGGAGCGCCACTCGTAATGCCCTGAGCGGCAATGAAGACGCGAGCTTCATTAAGCGTGGTTCCAATCAAGATGGGAATGTTAGGCCATGTCTTTGACGTGATGCTATTCCGGACGTCGCTGACCGAGGTACCGTCGCCGTTGACCGGGGGGAAGACAAGCGCTGCAGATTCGATGTAGGCTTTGATATCCGTGGCCGAGACTTTCCGCAAGCATGCAATGGGGGAAGACTGGCTTTGGCACTTGAAATTCTGGAGGACCTTTTTGTAGCTGTCCGATCCGGAGCCTATCAGAAGGGATTGTTGCGATTGCATGATTGCGGCCGAGAACGGCAGCGGACTGGGCGGGCTTGCGAGCAGCTGCTTCACAGACTCGCCCCCGGCGGAATCGCCAAAGATTGTGACACGCGAGGGGTCACCGCCAAAGCTGGCGATATTGTTTTGAACCCACTGCAGAGCAAAGCGCTGATCCAAGAAACCCGAATTCTGCGACCCGGCTGGTATATCGGGAGAGTTGGAGAATCCAAAGACTGACATGATTAGCAACCATCCGACCATACGTAACAAGCAAGATTCCTACTGTTCGTTCGATAGTTTATCGTTACAACAACCACGTCTTGCGTGAGGGCCAGTGAACTTCCATCGTAGATGGGTAGGCTGGCAGTTCCAAACTGCAAGTTACCCTGTACAAGTCAGCGATAATTGCCAAAATCATATGGACGAATTGTACTTACAGGAAACAGCCAAAACATGACAGCCTTCTTACTTGTAGACGATACACCGGGGGGTGTGAAGACGTTGAGGTATAAGCAGTCTTCACTCTCTTCCGGTAGAGGCCCAGTGGGATTGCCGAAGTACTGCTTTTGCAAAGCCGGCGAGCCCCCTTGGCTCGAAAATTGTTGCATGCATGCTGGACGGAATGCTTGAGCAGTTAACGTTGTCCATGGGTCGGCTGGCTGGGGAGGAGAGAACCGTTCCGGCGGTGACTTGGCGAATGGTACACCGAGGTACGCATTCGCGTAGCCAGTTGATGCAGCTGGCTGGGTCGTGGTGCCTACAATAGTACCAGATGGAATGACTACAGTCGGGCCGGCATCTCCAGCGGGCAAAGCGAGTACTCCAATAAAGAATGTGGATGAGAGGAGAATTTGGGCGAGCAATGGTTTGCGGATATTATTACCCATGATGAGTGGCTATATTGTCTTTGCGGCACAGGGAACTTGACCAGGATGTAAAGAAGCTGATGTTCCAAAGTGTTCTAGAAAACTCTCACGATCCTGCCGGCAATCACTTACTGTTTTATACATCCCCCCATTGCTAGGTTATAACAAATTGTGTCAACCACAAGCTGCCCGGCGCCGCCGACAGACAAGAATGGCAACGCCACCAAAAGACTATTGATGTCTTTGTGTCTATTTGGCCGAGACAATTTGATATCTGGTCATGCATACCTAACCGCTTCTAGTAAGGCACCCTTACAAACGAGTGAAACCTCTTCTCTCCATAAGGAGTGCACTGACCAAATGCATTCTCTCAGTCCCTCCAGAAATTAGAATAACTTGAGAAGGACAAAAGCAGTCAAGATGCAGAAAAAAAGTGAGAATATAGAGATATGCACAGCTTGGTATAAATGTTAGGGTCGGAGCTAGGAGCAAGGAACTTGTTCTAAATGCTTTGAGAGGTAGTTGAGGGAGGTGAGAAGGAAGTGTTAGTGCTACGGCCAAATACCCGTACTCCTTTGTGCATCGACAGACAGCAGCTAGGTAAGACAACCCGCAGAGCCTATAGAGCTATGACGACCAAGTGATCCGATCAACTGGGAACTATTACAGGCCGTTTCTGCTGCTGAAGCATTCGAGGCTGGTTCCGGAGCTTGAACCACGTGTTCGTCGCATCCAGCCAAAGTTGGCTCGGGTCGGTGAAGGCCTACGCCGCCATCTGCGTCTCCATCCTTTGATCATCTCCATTCCCCACAGCCCGCTCCAGGCAAGGTGACGCCGACGGTGTTGGGTGCCCCCGAGGAATTAGAAAAAGTGGCTGGACCGTCAGAATGTTTGGCTCGGCGAATAAACGCGCTCGGAAAGACATTCCACGTGGGAGGCAGCGGGGTTGGGTCGGACTTTTTGTTTAGAGAGTAACGATAGATATGGGCAGCCGAGGAGTTGCGATCACGAATGGGTAACACAAACGGCAACAACATTCTGGAGATAGCTAGTAGATGCCAGTCGTCAGGCCCGTAGGAGACGAGCTAGCAGAAATGCAGAAGCGTAACAAGGGCCAAGGCTAATGTCAATCCCCAAGTGCGCACTGGTGACTCCAGACACTAGCCATACTGCCGCAGGGCTGTAGCTATCAGTTTTCAAATCACGATTGACCAAGGTGAAAATAAAGGTTGGCCAGTGCTGGTGCCGGGTTCCTATGAGGGACTAGATGAGTGAAATACATGGTATTAATTGCTAAAGGGGTATCATTGGGTCATTATTTTCCAAGTTTCGTTTATGCCGTATTTCTTGCCCTAGCTCTGGCCCGGAGGAATGCTGCATGCCTCTGCGAGTGGTATTTAACATCGGGGGGATGCAACGGGTTGTAGAGGATGCGGCATATCTTGCACTCCATGAAGGCAGGCTTCGAGGACAGGTTGATGGTCGTCTGGACCGTCGCGACGGATTTCGAACGTGACGGTGGCTTCTTTGGGACGGCAGCCTCTTTCACCTCCTTGTCGTCTCGGAGCTCATTGAGCTTGCTGTTGGTGACCTCCTTCAGTTCTTTCCCGATTTGTGTCCTCGAGCTCCTCAAAACCCTCCCAGTCCTTGTTGTGTCAACGTCTCCACCTTCGTCACCGCCGTCCTTGGCATTCTCCACGGTATCTGATGAGGGCAGTATGGGATTGCTGGGCCGCAACCTCAGCCTGCGGGGCTCTTTGATTTTGTGGAAGACTGGAGGCGAGGACGGAGGAGTGTTGATCAGCTTTTCCGAGTCGGACAACGGATCGGAGGACTCGGTGGCTGAACTCGATCGGCATGGCTTAAAGTAACTCAGGATCGAGCTCTTAGGTATGTTGCTGGACGGTTGGGTGGGTTGCGCCGGATAAAGTCTCGGAAGCTCTGGTGTCCGTGTGGCTGGTTCCGCGGTGACTCTGCGCTTCTTTAGAAGCCCCGGACCTGTATCGTCATATTCTGTTGGGCGTGACCGTTTGCTGTATGTCCGCAAGTTACGCCTAGGTGCCATTAGTCGGAGTCGTGGTATGCGAAGCCAGAATAGAATCGTACCGCTTGTCGGTTGTTGTTGGTCTTGGAACGTCGCGTTGAATGTTGAGGCTGTACCACAATGAGCCAGGCTGCTAAAGTAAGTGAGCTGAGGGGAACCACATACAGCTTCGTTTCTTCTCCCGTCCGTTCCATCCCTTCCGCGAAAGAATCGGCGAAGTGTGGTGTTCTTCAACCGCTGGTGTCGGCTGCAGGCGCGGATGTGACGCGACGCGCTTGATCGTGTTGTTGGACGGCGTCAGGCAAGGTGTCAAGGTGAAGGGAAATATATCGGTAGCGTTTTCGAGCGCAGAATAGCTCAAGAACGTATGGTTGCCAAGTAATAGATATTGGCCAGGGGACAAAAAAGAGATAGAAAGGCCGATACTGTGACTGGGATGTGTGTGTCTTGTCTTTTCCTTGAGATGCGCGCGAGATGGTTTAATGGGGAGCTTGGGTGCGGAGGCCCCACCACAAAAAGCGCGCCGCGCGGATGACGTGCAGCAAAGCGCGTGTGAGACGCGTCGTGGTAGACATCTCGCGTCATCACGTGGGATCTTGGGACCCTTCTGCCCCTCCCTCCCCATCACGTTAATTTTCGTTCTTCTTGGGGATGCGCACAGTGTTCATGCAATACAAACAACCCTTCAGAGATCGGAGGTTCCGGGATCAGTTGTTGCAGGCCGTTCGGTCCACTGTTGTCGCTGCAGCTTTGGACCGGACGGGTGAGCTCCGATGCGACGCGAGCCAGTACACTCGCAGCATTCGGTGTCTTGAACTCGTGATGCTCGTTGTATTTTGTTGCATCAAACTACGACATGCCCTTCAGTCGTCGCCGTATTCCCTCGTCTGTGTCTGGTGTCTTGGTGTCGAGTAGCACCGTTGCGTCCTCTCCCGACTTGCCGCCGCTACCGTCCTCACCCAAGACCCATGTCTGCATCACTTCCTTGATCTCTTCCGGCTCCTTACGGCTTGCCTTGGCCTCTGTCATCCTCCACACGTATCCCGAGTAAACGGCGACCTCTGCGACAAGCACAAGGATGGAGCCAGCGAGGGTCAGGAAGATGCGCGCCGTGACTGTCCACCAGCGGGAAGCGATCCATATCGTCGCGGCAACGCCGACGATGCTGACGAGGAAGTTGAAAATGACCATGACCTGTTTTTGCACATCGCCGAGCGTAACCTCGTCATCGCCGTTGTCGGCCTCGCGCATGGGACGGTTCACTTCGGCAAATGCGTGCGCTCTCGAAGCGGCGCCGGGGACCTGCTGAGAAAAATTGTCGGTCCGGGACGGCTGCTTCATCATGCGTTGGTATGTTCGTTCCTCTTCTTCGCGTCGCAGGCGGGCCATCAAGGCTTTGTACTCGGCAGACTACAAACGGACTGTTAGCGAGTTGGCATCAGACGAACGGGTGATTGTGACGTCGTACAGGCTCTGGCTTCGGAGGCGGCGGAGGAATGTACACGTTGGCGCCTCGGAGCAGACCCTCCAAGCTGAATCCATCAATGCCCTCGCTCTTCAGGTCCCTCCACAGATGGAGAACCTGGCTATGTGTGATGGGGTCCCCGACGACCCGGGGTTTGAGAGTCGGTTCTTCTGCGTCGGGCGTTGCTACAGAAGTGGCTGACCCATCCGACGTCGATTCCTGCGCTGCTATGCCCGTCTTCGATGCGTCCGTCTTGTCCCGGCGCGATCTCACCTCAACCAGCCTCTGCAGACCGGCGGCGATGGAAGGCGTTACCGTAAGCTGTACCATGACTGCGGATGTGCCTCTTGTCTCTCACGCTATCATGTCGAGATTGACACTAGTCGAGGAAGGGAACCAGAAAAGGAGTAATTGTCGCAAGTTCTGTGTACCTAGGTATCCTCAGTACTGGATCTGTACGTACCCAAGGTACTTACCTTTGTACTCCGTAGTTGTGCACGAAACCTGAGGCCGCTGTGTCCCAGCTAGGTTAGTCAGCATCGCCGCTCTTGCTTGGGCTCACGTCACCAGTGCTTAGTGCTACTAAGGATATAAATCACCTTAATTACCTCCTCCTTAAGGACGCATCTAACTGTCTACTTACATTTTTATACTACCTTGTTATTCCTGTAGATTATTAACTTTACGTAACTTTCACTATATATAAGGACTTAGTTAATACTACTAGGTAACAGGATAAGTGTAGGTTTAGACAAGTAACCTAGCTCTTAGTGTACTTAATATCTAGGCGTCTATTATTTAGCTTTTATAAGATATTTATATATATTAGCTTATTTTTATTATCTCTATTACTAGAAGCTAACTATATAAACTAGTTATAAAGTTATTACTGCCTAGATTTATATTCTTCTTATAGATACTTCCTATTATATAACACTACTGAAATATTGTTGTTACTTAGCTTTCTTAGTAAATACTTTGTATCTTAATTTAAAATTCTTTGGAGTGGTTATAATGTTACTAAAGAGAAGCACTGATAAGTTTTTCTGCTAAGGGAGGGAGAAAGGCCCTAAATAGTATATAGAAGAGATTAATAATTCTACTATATTTACTTTGTTGCCCTCTAAAGCGTGAGCGCTACTAGACTAAGTATTTGCCCCCCTAGTTAGGCTAAGAGCATTAGCAAAGATATCCTACTAGTTAGGGCTAGCACCGTCACCCTCAGCATCCTACGCAACAGGCTAGATCCAGTTGCTATCGCTGTATAGAGTAACTTAAATGGTGGCGTTGCCTCTGTTGTTGATGGGTAAGGCAGGGAGGATGAGAGTTGAGGTTGCTGAGCGGATCAATACAGTATTGAGAGTTGGGCCAGTGAAAAAGGAAGGTCTGTTAGCGTTGGCCTGGACGCCAGCAGCAGCTGTTAAGGTGAGAGCAGAGAATACTTAGCGTGTAGAAGGTATCTTGGCGATTAATACGGTGGTTACGAATAGGCCCTTGAAATGTCGTCAATAAAAGTGTCCTAATCCCAACACCTTTTCTTTTTGGACACAATTTGAATATTTATTGCTCGTGAATTCCCATGAGCGGCAAGGCCGACATTGTCTACTATGCAGAGCCCTTGTCGTCGATAATTACAGCGGCTGATATAGGGTCATACATATTTTAAGTAGTGGGCGATGCATTCCACACACGGGCCTTGCCATTTTAGCGAAATTTACGGATATGCCCGGTGGCTCTCTACAGTACAGTCTGTTGCAATGACAGCGTCTAAAATTCAAAGCATCGCAGGACAAGGCGAGGAGGGCGCCCTATTAGGCCACCTAAAAGGCACCCTTTCGCCAGCAAATGGCTGGCGATAGCTAGGTCGAGAATCAGCTTCTATTTAATACAGGACCTACGTTATAAATGACTGTTTGATACTGGTGCTGTTAGATATCTTCTAGAAACAAAACAAAAAAGCTAAAATCTAAGAAAAATAAGGTATTAAATAGCTATAAATCTATAAGAGTTTATTTCTATATCTTTTATCTTTTGCTACTTTAATTATACTTTATATTAACTATAGATAGCATATAAGTATATTTAGTCTAGAGTTTAGAAAAATATGCCTAAACGCTAAATTTTAATTTAGATGCTATTTGTGTAACTATTAAAATTTAACCTATTATGTTTCTAGTGTCTAGACCTATTATCCTAAGAACCTAGATATTTTAGTAGCAAGAAAAGCTAGAATTTTTTAAAAAAAACCTCCTAAGTAAATTACTATAAATTCTAATTTATAATATCTTCTGTATACTTTTATTCTTATTCATTAGATAAACATCCTAGATTCTAACTTTTTCAGGTTTAAAAAGTTGAGTGTTTTCCCCGCATAGACCATGCTTTGAGTTTTGGACGGTATCAATGCAACAGACTGTAATAGTCATCTCATCGAGTGCAGTTGACAGGCACCAAATCCCTGAGTACCGTTTAGAATGGAATCATGACTGGGTACACACGGCAACACTGCACTCTTTTCCTTGAAGACAGCCAGCGTTGAGATTCAATTTCTCCATACAGCTGTTTCCTCTTTTCCCTTTGTTGGTCTGCAAGGGATTAATTTAACTGCGCATGGCGCAAGGTATTAAGTGGGTCGATACTTGATCGAAGCCACTAGGAGCGGAAGCGGAGCCGGAAGGGCCGACCAGCCGTCCAACCATCCCAGTGAATATAGTACTATTACTATTTGTTCGTATATGAGTAATAAACAATCATAATAACGGTAGTCGAACTGATTTACGTGACCAGGTCGGATCCGTAGGTGCCATATTCCTATATATTCTACCTTTCTTCTCATCATCTCCTCCTCATCATCTACACTCGCTTTCCCTCAATAGTTACACGTTCACATCGACTCAGGCGTCTTATCAACTCTACTTCTCTATTAAACATATCCTCATCCAACCAACATAATGAACCCTAAATCATTCATCACTCTCGTCTTTGCTAGCACCGCTCTTGGTGCTACTATTCCTTCAACAGAACCAAGCACCTCTCATTTAGTGCAACGCGACCGAGCCCAATACGAATCATGTGTAAGAGTTTGTTTACGGACTAAGAAATATGAGTGGCCTGCTACTTTGTTGGCTCGACATTGTGCAACCTACTGCAGTAAATATCTATAAGGCATATCTAGGCTGCGAAGGGGAAAGTTGCTCAATAGCAAATACTGCTCTTATGTTAGGCGCCTGGGGGGAAGACCTGGGGGGGGCACCGGCAGTAGGGCTGCAGACAGATATCCTAATACCTAAAGGACATGTAAAAGGGGAATTTGCAGAGATTAGGGACTTAGGAGGCTTAATTACACGACTGAAGAGACTATTATCTATGTTTTCCTGTAGCGGTCGTACCTAATCGTTAATAGTCAGTTACACGCACAGACCGTTTAACGTCTTCATACCCCTATCAACCCTACAATTCAATGTACAAAGGAAAAACATCATGTCTTACGGATAGCATCTGTCAATCTCGAGTTATAAACAGTGAGTTTATACCTAAGCTGAGGGGTAAGCAAACAGCGATGTGATTGTACACATGTATTTGGCTTGCTTCACTGAAGCTACTTAAATATATGGCTACGATGCGGAGCCCCTTGCTCAAATTGGAAAGATATGAGCCTCATCTTCAATACTCGAATGACCCGCAGGGGTCATTGACTAATAATTGGTACTACAATGAGCAGATGTCGCGCTGTGGCTTGCATCGCTCAAGGAACCGCAATACACGCAAAGTCATTTGATTTGGTCTACATAAGCGGATAAGTCGAGAGAGTAAAAGTGAGCCCCTCTCCCAAGGATTAAGGCTTTGCTCTCTGAGAGGAAACATAATCGATATGTACTACAGCTCCTATGAGGGTTGTTTACATAGCTCAGAATCCTATAGCCTTGAGAATTGTAAACCTTGTTGCTACATCCTACGCTCTCGACCAATTCTCTACGGTTTCTTACAATGTATAACTTGTTGTGCGGCTGAACAACACAGCAAGCTCATCTCCAGGCCCCACTGATGCGTCGCATTTATCACAATAGCCTTAGGTTGTGCATCAAGCGGGAAAGCTGTGTGAGGCGATCGCAAATATCTATTAGCTGTTGTTTGAGAAATTGAGAGCCTCTGATTGCATTTGCGGATTATCGGAGTTTTGTTCAACAGTAATTTCCAATGCGTTCAGTTGAAGTCGGAGTGCACCTAGAAGTCCATATTCTTCCAGTTAAGTCTATCAACACCCGGTAGGCGGTTCTCACTTGGCAGTTGTTGGCACTGGCGTGGACGGCCTTCCGTCAACAGGAAGATACTCTAATCCGCATTTCTTAGTGTTTTGAGACTTCCGGAAGCGCCTAAGGGAGAGTGTCTTTCGAAGTCCCATAACTAGTACTAAAATGCTACATCGCTGGCAAGGTCGCACGTCTTTTGTACTTGCCAGCCTGACACTGGCTGAGAAAGCACTCTACGTGTAACTAGCTGGCTGTATCCTACGCCATGGCTAAACAGAAGCAGTCGGTTTGATCCACTGGTCGGGCTGGTTCGGGGGTTTGCGCTTGTTGTATCTCAAACAGTCACCGAAGGGGAATTGGTCTGTCGGTTGACTTAACGAATGAATTGTCGATTGTTGAATTCTAACTAACGTGCATGATCAGCGAAGCGATCATACAAGCGAAGCGATCACCCAACAGCGACCATGCTATCTTCTTCCTTTCAACACGCGTTCGACCACCAGAAACAATGCCATCATCAAGCAACGAATGTCAATTAGTCCTAGCAGTCCAAGCTATTGAAGGACCCCAAATAACTAGCATCCGGGCTGCAGCCAAAATCTACTCAGTACCTTTCTCTACTTTACGCGACCAACTTCAAGGAAAACCTTTGCAACGTGACATTATGCCTAACTCACAGAATTTGACAGAGCTTGAAGAGAAGAAGCTAGTTGAGTTTATTTTAGACCTGGATTCCCGATCATTTCCTCCTCGGCTTAGTGGTGTTGAAGAAATGGCTAATCGACTGCTTGTTGACCGCAACGCGTCGCTAGTCAGCAAGCGCTGGGTGTCAAAGTTCGTTAAACGAACACCAGAGCTCTGAACACGTTTTATTCCTAAGTCAACTACAAGAGACCCTAATGCAAAGATCCTAAGGTTAGAGATGTGTAGTTCTCCCTTATAGTAAACATAATTATAAAGTATAGTATTATAGACTTAGATATCTATAGCTTTAATAGGACTAGTTTTATGATTGGCTAGATTACATCTAGAGTAGTTATTATAAGCGCTAAAAGACGTTTAAATACAAAAATAGTGTAGCCTAGTAATCAAAAACATATTACAGTTATTTAGACTATTAGCCTGTCTAGCTATAGTGCCTTACTATATATTATTATTGGAGATAAAAATCGACTCTCTACCTAGTATACTAGATCTAGTCTCCTACTTA